ATTATTATTATTATTATTATTATTATCAGAAGGGGTTTTGTGGAGATTTAGTATTTTCATAGTTGAAATCATGAGTCAGTTGGAGCTAGACCACCATTGAAAACCTGGAAGCACTGGAAGGCCGTTTCGTCCTATTATGGGACTCCTCAGCTATTCCAATTCAAAATAAGATGATCTTAAGAAAATGACAATCTCTTTGATGTAGAGTGCGATAAATTATCATTGATTTCGTAAACAAATTTTTATCGTACTTATACGCATTTGAATCTGCAGCTATTAGGTTGATGAAATCGCATTATGTGTATTACAATAATGACCGATCATCGAAAATAAACATCATCCGCTTCTTCAGAATATTTAGAATTTATAAATAGCCATGGCTTAAAAACAACTCTCTAACTCAGTTAGGTAAATTCTTCAACATATATGAACATCTATGAATCTTAGAATACGTGGTATAGTTATAACAGAAATGTTCCGCATAGGATGCACATATACCAATATAACAAATGGGAAGGTACAAGTAAAATAACACCAAGTGAATTCAAACTTCACCCCATCGCACAACCAAGTGGCTATCAGGACTCAGTAACTAAGTGGATAACACGATAGCGTTTGAAACGAACAGTACTAGGTTCGAGTCCCGGAGTGAACATCAACTCTGAGATATAAGTACATCCAGCTGATGAGTCCCAAATAGGACGAAAAATAATTTAACATAGAAACTAATATTAAATTGACAGTTTATTAAGTAATTGAAATCAATATATTGTAATTTATAAAATCAATATTGATAGATAAATATAAATCATAACATGTGAATAAATGGTTACAAGTAAAATAGAGAATTTTGGCGATAAGAACAAAAACAAACAAATAAGTAGACTGAAATCATGAATAAGATCAATGTTAGATCATCAATGTAGAATGATTGAAGTTAGAGATTGACACCGTCAATGGTCAGGAATTTGCGCGCGAGGTCGTAGATGTATACTGCTGAGGAATCCTATACTAGGACAAGACGTTCATTCGATAATTCAAGGTTTACAGTGATGATTGGAAATTTTTCGGTTCATGACTTCAATAACAAATGATTGCTAAAGTAGTGAATGGAAGTTAGTGTTCAAGCATAATGTATATGAGCCTGCTATCCATTAGATGGTTACATAATATTAAAAAGTGGAATGGAAACTAAATATGTAAATTGTTGGATTTCGTCTTAGTGGTCTAGAGGGTAAGCGGTTGATGTGATACCTTTATATCTTGAGTTTAATCCATGGTGGGGTAATGGATGTTCACTGCTGATAGGTCCCGTAACAGGACGAAATAGCTGTTTAGTGCTTCTAAGATCAGCCCATGGTGCGAGATATCGAATTGACTGTGCAAATTTACATTTAATATCACTAATTCTAATTCAATCCTATTGATTCACATTAAATTTTATTCAGCACTGTGATACATCTGTTTGATGTTAAACATTTCAAGTAGGAATTCTTAAACAAAAATTTTATTTTGTTTAGGATTTGCGGGCAAGACATACTTTTAATCTTCAAAGAACTGATGTCCAATGAAGATTTTGAACATTCTTCACTTCGTGCAGCATTCAGTTATGTTATTCATTTCTTGGTTGACCTGCTGTAGTACTGAGATGATCGACAAGTTACACCGAAGATAGAACCGTTAAAAAAATTTAAAAAATTTGGGTAGTATTAGATTTTTTCTGTTTTGTTCAAATTTAGATAAATCTCCGAGGACATAGAATGGGGAACCTTAAGTTATTTTAAAGATTGTTTAGAAACCCATTACTGCGAAAATGATTATGCTGTTAAGAGAGTATTCAGCTACTTTATATTGGCTTAATGAAGATAGTTTTTGGACATTTTCATTATACGTCATGAAGCTAAGTATATACGATATGAAAGTATTGAACTGTTTTACACAAGACTTGAAGTCACTGATTCTTATTTACACTGGACGTGATGGTTACAATAATTATAGGTGGGATATCGTGATGGAAAACTTGACTATCTGTAAACTTAAGGTCTAAGGGCGAATTCCTCCATGGGTGTAATGAGAATAAGTTGCTTCCAACAGAAACAGAATCTTCAGTGATAATGTCTTCTTATAACGAAGTTAGAAAGAGTAGGTCCTAGAAACAGTTAACCCCACCTTCCTCCCATAGATTCCTGTTGGAGATGATAAAGTTTGAAATGTAATGACTCAACGTAGCAAAAACTCAAAAATGTGTGACAGGCCATAAGTAATTGTCCTTTGACTCATTTGATTGTGCCTCCAGGTCACCAAGACTATCCTTAACGCGGTTTGTTTCCCAGATTCCTCAAGTATCCTTTTATGGTGAGAAACTTGGAAATGAAAAGTCTCCTCATACCTCTAAATTCATTCAAGCTAATCTTCTTCATGATCGAATGTCTTTTTAGCACGGTCTACACCTGGTTACTTCTAACAGAAACTGAGGCATTGACCCAACAGAAAGAACTCAAGCAATTGCTTTTCTGACTATCCAGAAGTTGGATGATGAAAGTCACAGTTGTTATCAATGCGGTGGCAAATAAGTAGAAATTCTACTTGGAGAGTATTTTGCTAGATAACTTGTTTCCGTTCGAAAAAGGGAATGAAGAACAATAGACTGTTATAATCAACACTGAAGGAGTTATCGATCGAAGTATTTCAGATAATAAGGCAGACTACAAATCATCATTGTGAAGTTATGTGACTTATAACCAATGAATTCCATATTTAAAACCCAAAGTTGCAACAGTAGAGCAGTATAGTGTGAATTAAATGTAAAAACCCTCACATGCCATTGGTTACATCCCTTCGTATTGTTCTCTCTGATATTCAATAGCTAACTGGACAATAATATAATACGAATGGTAAGAATAAATCTCCTTGATAAGTAAGTGGCCTATTTAATTTGCATTTTTCAGGCGTTTGCATTATTTATTTATTTAAACACATAAATACTGGTACAAAGTGGCGCAAGATATACATGCTCCACACAAGTCTTTTTTTATTTGTGTGAGGACTGTGATACTGCCCACGTGCCCAAACTGAAGTAGGTGGTTTTCCTAGGGGACCACACCCACAACTTTTGACCTAAAGATCTGATCCACAAAGCAGTAGAGCATCGTAAGGAGATGCAGTCACATGGTAGCCGGTGACCAACGATTGATTCATACGCCATTTGTTCCCTCAGGATCCTGGAGCCCATGTGCAACAGTGGTTTGGAATCAGAGTTTTCCAACTCCCCTAGGTGGACACTCCACCAATCCCGTTAAAGCGCCGGACATTCTCTTTACGTCCTCTCACTTTCGTGAACAACGCCCCCGCCACGAGAAGGCAGTGAGTAGGACTTCCCTGGAAGAGGCTATATATTCGCGTGGCCATGTGAGAGCATTTGGAGAGGGAGAGCGGACTCTCTCCACTCTCGGCCGTACCAGGGCATAGGGGGGCCTCTAATCAGATTAGCCACTTATACAGAACGTCTGTAGAATGAGATTTGAACTGATGACCATTTTGGTTGTAATCTGAGCAGTTTTAACGATTAATGCACTACATTCAGGATTTATCAATAGACCGTATTGTTTCATTAGGTATCATCCAATGATCCTCATTCTCCTCATCATTTCAACGATCAAATATGTTTTTAGAATCATCGTCGTCATAATGAAGTCTTGAAAACTGCCCTCCCCCCTTTGCTTATTACATAACAATATTTAATTCAATGTAAAACAAAAATACGAAAGCAATTTTCATATCACTAATAATAATAATGTATAACAGAGTACAGCAATTGAAGGTAAATTTTTATTAGCACTAAAGCATTGTGTTTTAAAGATAAACATATAAATATGTAATACAATGAATTAAGTGTTTAAACACATCAATTTTAATTTTTTTTTCCAATAATTGATCCTTCTATTTACTATGTACAAGGCACAAATTGCTGCATATATATGTCTGTAGATATGAGTGTGTGTGTGCATGTTCATTCACATAATAAGCACAAAATACACAACAGTACTGTAACAAAATGCATAAATATACAAAATACGAATATGTGTATACTGCGTGTGTGTGTGGGGGGGTATGTGTATGACTTGTATGAAATCATACAGTTCACTAATAACAGTCAATGATTATTGATATCCCATTGTAAGAGCACCAAAACACATATTTATTACAAATGACTTCTACCCAATTGTGTTCACTTTACATTGAGCATTACAATATATACGTGTGTAGATACTTGTCAAACATGAGAGTGTGATGAATTTGTTGGGTTTCCTTCACTATTTTTACAATATTATCTTTAGCATAATCATCAATAATACAATTAAATAAAAAAGACCCTCATTAGTATGTACTATAACAACTTGTGTGTGCTTTGTCAAATGATTAATTCATATTCATTAGGATAAAAACAGTAACGGGAATTATACTAGTTCAAAATGTGTATTAGCAATGGTAAACAAAATTACACAAAGAAATATGTGGAAAAAACAAACAAACAAAGAGAAACAACAGTACAAATGAAATTTCATAGCTGGCCTTTCAACAATAAAAAAAGACAACTTTCAATAGATTAGGGTCAAATGTTTGTCTTTTTCGTAAAATTGATTAAATCAACCTGAGTTGAATAGATGATTCGGATTGATCCAGTTCTTATAGTTTTATTTTTACTAATTTGTCGTCAACCAAGTCTAATTCGGATTGTATTAAAGAAAGACAAGTAGATTACATGTATTAGTAATAGTGGTAATAACAATAATCACTACAGTAACATATATATTGCCAGGAAGAAAAAAAACAATCTTGGATCAACACAATATGACTGGAATGCAGTAATTAAGGCAACTTTTTTTCAGCATTGTTGTCTTTCATCAACAAATTCAACAGTTATATATATATATATCAGGTGACAATACAGGTTCCCTGAACTGATATATCCAGCATTAGTCTTGCTATTTATAGATGTGTTAGTTACTGGTGTCCGTGTCACTAAGCTGGAATTTCATACTGCAGAAATCAATGAATTTTCTGGAAACGAAGCTTCCAAAGTTTTCATTAGAGGACAAACTGTTAAATAAAAAAAAGTCAACAACACTACGGAAGGAATTTAGAAAATTATGAGGAGACAGTTAAAAAGGAAATACATAGGAAATTAACACTTGGAAAAAAAGAAAGTAGGGTAAATATAACGTAACCATACAGATTCGGGTTAGATAAGCAATTTACAGCGTACATTTTTATGCAGCCAATTGTTTTATTATTTGTCCATACATAAACACTGATACGATTGACGTACTGAACACATAATTCATACTAAACGCGATAACCATTCTGGCGAGCACGTAAATACTCCGTTGCATGCACACTACATTTTTCGCTGCGATATCTAGTAAGCCGAATTGATTGTCGAAATGTCTCAGTTATAGTACCACGGTAACCACCTTTTCGAAGAAGAGAATCAATGGTTTCGCAATGATTCCAACCTTTATAAAAACAAAAACAAGCAAGACTGATAGATCAATGATGAATGGGTAGATATAGTGTGGAAAAAGTTAAAGGGGGGATATATGACACAAGTTTCGATTACTATACTTCGCGGCGAGAAACTATTTGTTTTGTGAAAAGTCATGAAAAGCATAACGTAATATTTGTTCTCCATTCATAACGAGATTGCAATGTTTGTTCATGAACCACCAAGGCCAAGACTTCTATTCAAACATTCAACCGTTGTCTGATACGACCTACAGATGTAAAATTCTTAACATCCCCAAAAGACGAATCTATAGATGAAGTGAACGTGATAGCTTGTGAATTACTAAATAAGAAAAGTCAAGAGGGAAATTTTTAACCATACAAAATCAATTAAACCCTAGAACATGTAACGAATAGACTATGAGATTTTTACTGAAATGTAATAAAAGTTACTTAGCAATGTCTCAAAGTTAGGAAAAGTTTGAGCCTTACCTTGTTTGTAGGCAACTTCAGGCAAATACGTAGCAGTGCGATGATATCCCTTTTCATTAACAAATTCAATTCGAATTCCATGAACACCAATCTATTTCAGCCAATAAGAAAGTACAGATAACTAATTACTAAATATCTGGGCGAGGCTAAACTATACTGACGACCTTTGAACGAATCTTAAATGACCTTGAGAAATATTAGCCAATCAGAAGACAGTTAGTACACAGTAAAAATATATTATACAAAACTCAAAAATTAAAGGGGATACTGTTCTTTCACGTGACTCAAAACCTATCAAGGTCAGATATAGGTTCAGAAGTTCTAAAATCATAGTGCATACGGTACAGCAACACATCCATACGGCTCCATAGTAGTCGACCTCTGAAACCATGATAAGGTCTCGAAAATTCTTTTAGCCTCGACCACATAGCTTCAATGTTGTCGGTATATCGGTATGGTTTACGGTATAGGGTTAGAGTTAAGGTTTAGGGTTAAGGGTGAGAATGTAATTTATAGACGACCTTTGAGCGACGCTAGAGTGACCCTGAGAGTGTCAACCTAATAACTAAGACCAAATGAGGGTTATAAACATGTGTGAAGAATTTAAATTATGATTTACAGTTCATGGTTAAGACTAGGAATTATACTTAGGGTTTTCATCACGAACTGACATCAGCTATAATGCCAAAACTCTATTTATCGAAATGGATAATTGAATTTCGCGCCAAAATCTTATGATTACTTCTCTTGTAGACGCTGAATTATCACGTCTTCCCTAAAATCCGCTGTAAACCGATTGTACGTAAGCATCAGGTACCGAACTTGGCGCCGTGACCTTGAAAACCTGCGAAAGCTTCTGATTGGCTCGTCAGTATAGTTTAGTCTCGCCTTTGTGGTATTGAAAGGGTGTTTATCTATCAGAAAGAGAGTATAACAACAATGTAGTTTATTACTTCGCACTAAATGCGAGTAAAGCGTGGCCTTTGAAATAATAGAACTTACGTACATTGCGTATACTTGATCATATGTATTTCTGACCCATTACTCATGTACAGTAGAATAACTAGCCGAAGAAAGGCTTAAAGAACTAGCTAAAAAGTTGGAGCTAATAAAAGCCAATCGAATACAATATATACAGAACAGTCAACTAGTAATGTGTGGTAAGATACTCATAGCTCACTAAGTTTTTGGTGTTGATTTCTATAAAAACAATGAAAGTTTTGCGATTATACTACCCAACTCCGTGAAGTAAATATCAAGTTCACGGATGATGCTAAAAATCATCAGTGACTGAGGTAGTTGCTTACGTGTGTCCGAACAATGTCTACTTACACGTCTAATGATGGCTGACATGCAAGTAGGTTGGAAAAATGTTAGGAGCGAAGAGACCAATATGTGGCATTATTCCATGAGGCTATTAGCTACTGGTCTAGGCCATATCGGTTTTCGCAGGCTTTCAGATTGAGACCCGTGCAATAATTGTAATCACTTGTGATAGTTCTATATAGTTTTTGTCTTCCTTGAAATATTGAATTGAGTGTCATACCTTACTTTTTCGGCATATTACCTCCATTTGAAACTCGTCTTTCATGTTTCAGAATCTATTGCAGTCGAAATCAAATTTTCCCCTCTGAAGTTCCATTTTCGATGTGCTAGTTTGGAGTGTAGTAATTAGAATAGACGAATATTTTTGCTCGATCCTACGTTGTTTGTAACTGACTGACACCACTGTTGACCATAGGAGTAATATTTGGAAAGTTTGAGTATAAAATTCCCAATTACTGAATCATGATGCGTGAGTCCAACTCATCATTATCGATCCGAGCAGCTGAGTAATAGCAACCCTAATAAAAAGCTAACCTAAAGATCTAACACACCAACCTATGCCTGGTTACGAAGTTATACTCGAGTACATGGCATGAATTTAAATATAGATGACATTCGACCGTTTATGTAAAAGAAGATAGGTGGAATACTTGGAGGGAAAGCAACACATACAATAACATTGTTTATATTTTCCATAAACTGATTTAGCACTTATAGTTCAGGAAAAGTCAGGGCATATGGATGTATCCACATGTAACTGAATTGAAAACCTAAGCTAATGATTTCGATCCGAAAATATACACCAACCTGCCAATCCTGATAGTTTTTCCCCTCCTCAAAATTCAAAAGCAAGGAAACAGAACATGTGAGATTAGGAAACTCTTCTTCTGTTATTGGGGAAAAGCGACTGTCCTTCATAGCGCTGTAAGATTTAAAAATATAAGAAAAATACAAATGAACCTGTTAATCGCATATTCACGAAGACCATTGTGGATATTCATGGCAGTAAAAGTTCCTATACACCCACGCAGTTTTTCCTCTTTTCCATACGTCCACGTCACGAAAAGCGGGCTACAGGTAAATGAGTAAGACTTTAATTTACTAAGAGCTGTTTGGAAATGTCTTGGGGGCAGGAGGAGGTTCAAGATTATGTAAATGGTTGTGAAGGACGTCAAAACAAAAGTAACACATTTCACGTCTAACAACCCCATGTGTGCTAAGGCCATTACGAGAAACGCATGGTCGTGATGTTGATTCCTCATCTAACCTTTGCTTTTTGGCTCCAAAGCAAGACGAAGGAGCTCTGGAACGAGCCATAAACACGATTGTCTAAGCGTTGTGACCTAGGACACACAAACCGCCCGCCGTCCTTCACCAGTAACAAAGGAGATATATGTCATTCAAATGGTTCAAATGGTTCAAATGGTTGAGGACGGAATAGGAGAAGCTTTCGCTTAACGGGCTTCCGTGTCTGATAGCAATGGATCACCAATACCTCCAGGCAAGAACCTAGGTATATGAACGATAATAGAGGGAAAAAAAGAATTTGGTAAATCATAATAATATGTTATCCTTAGTCCTTAAGAATAAGTCAAGTTTTCTCTTAAAGGACTTCTGGGAGGTCGCTTGCACTAGCTCAGTCGGCAGCGAATTCCAGCACTTGACAACTCTAACGGAGTAGAAGTTGTGTCTGCAGTCTGTTCTGCTATGTAGGGTCTCCAATTTCTGGGTGTTACCTCTGAGGTTAGTGTTATGACTAAGCTTAAGAAGTTGTTTAAGGGGATGACCAGAAGTATTAAGGATACTATAAGTCATAAGAAGATCACCTCTAAGGCGCCTATACTCTAACGGGTGAAGGTTAAGTGATTTGAGGCGCTCTTCATAAGGTTTGAATTTGAGACCCCGAACTGATTTCGTGGCTCGACGTTGTATACGTTCCAGAGTGACCTTATCCTTTTGGAGGGAGGGAGGAAATACTATGTTTCCGTACTCTAAGTGGGGACGAATAAAACTGTTGAAGATTATGTGGAAGGTCCTCCCGTCAAACTGGCCAAAAATGCGCTTCAATGTTACCAGTGCAAGGTTTGCTTGAGAGGCGTTTTTGTCACAGTTCGCATACGATTTCAGGTCGTAGGGTACCAACACTCCTAAATCTTTTTCAACTTGGGAAACTTCTAGAGGTGAGTTACCTAAGTTATAACTATAGTCTGCAACATGTCTCAGATGGACTACCTTGCACATTGAAGTGTTGAAGGTAAGTCCGTTGTCGTCTGCCCAACTCTGAAGTCGAGTCAGATCCTCCTGAAGAACTAGTATGTCATTATGATTGCGTATCTCTCTCCAAAGTTTCACATCATCAGCAAAAAGCAATAAGTCAGATGAAACTTGTTGAGGAAGATCGTTAATATAAATCAAGAAGAGAAGAGGTCCTAGTATTGAACCCTGGGGGACCCCACTGGGACATTCCATAGCCTGAGAGAGAGTGAAGTTAACCCTGACCTTAAAATGTCGGTTTTCTAGGTATGAAGTGATCCAGTCAATTAAAGGGGGTTTTATACCCAATCGTCCAAGCTTCTTGATAAGACATGCATGGTTGACCCTATCAAAAGCTTTTGAGAAGTCCAGGTAAATGACGTCAACCTTCCCCTTGCGATCAAGGATGGTTGTCCATTTATCCACCGCAGTCAGCAGGTTGGTCATACAAGAATGACCTTTTCTGAAACCATGCTGTTGAGGCGAGAAGAACTTTGAGGATGATAAGTGTTCTAGTATGCCGTCGAATACTAGGGATTCCATAATTTTTGAAGGTATGGAGAGAAGGGCCACTGGTCGGTAGCTTGAGGGTTCACTGCGTCGACCTCCTTTGAAAATTGGTGTGATGTGGGCCAGCTTCCATATTTCCGGTAGTTTGCCTCTGCTTAGCGAGTGTGTAAACATCACGCTAAGTGGTGTCGCCAGGATTGAAGCTGCTTCCCTCAATACGGCGGAATGAACCATGTCCGGACCAGGAGAAGTGTCTTTTTTTAGGTTCTGCAGTTTACGGAGCACCAAGTCAGCACTCAGGTCCACTTCGGAAAGTCCTGTACAGGTGCAGGTGAAGCTTTCGTCAGTATGGTTGATGTGGGTCAGTTGGAATGTCCGGGAGTAATGTTCAGCCAAAAGGTTAGCGGCATCACTGTCGTTGTTGGTCGGGCCATTAGGACCAAGCAGTTGGGAAACTCCAGTTTTGCCTTGTCGAAGAGAAGCTGCATAACTGAACAAGCTTTTCGGATTGGAGACGAATCTATCGATAAGCTTGGTCTGGAACTGAAGCCTGTCTTCTATTATTGCCTTTGTGCATGTGTTCCTTATATGTTTGTATTGCCTGTACGCGCCGTTGTTATCCGTTCGTTTATATTCAGCCCAACAGTGCTTTTGCGGCTTAGCAAACGACGAGTGCGGTTCTTGATGATTGCAGGTTGCTTGTAGCTTTTTGGGACCATTTTAGGAACTGAATGCTCAGTAGCACATGAGATCGTGTGCAGTAAAAAATCCCAATGAGCATCCACTTCAATTTCAGGGCGAACATTCCAATCCACCTGTTGAAGATAGTCCTGTAAAGCTAACACATTCAACCGTTTGAAGTTCCAGCGCTTGTTGCTAGTAGGATATCGTAGCTCCGTCTTGCTGACAAAGCTGAATGATAAGACGGCGTGGTCACTTTTGCCCAGGTGAGCCAGGATTGAGAGGTCGTCAACTAGGAATTCTTCGTTTGTGAATACCCAGTCTAAGCGTGACGGCGTCTGACTGTTTCTCCAACGGGTTGCCGACTTCACATTTTCAAATAATCCCAGGTCGCCGATAAGGTTGAAGAACAGAGCTTCAGTAGAGTTGGCACCACCAATGTATGTATGTTCCACGAAGTTGATTCTAGGGAAATTGAAATCCCCTAAAATCAGGATTTGAGAGAATCCAAGACGCGTAGAGCGAGTTAATCCTTCCAGCAGACGTTTGTCATATTCGATGTCGGCAGTGGGCTTCCTGTAAACGACCCCAACTAGGCACCTCGAGGTGGTAGATATTCTTACTGAGCACCATACTGACTCGTCAAGATTGTGAAACTCTTGATTGTGAAGTTGGTGCGCATCCAGGCATGACCGTACGTATAGTGCTACCCCACCCCCCATTCCTGTTTTTCTGTCGTTGCGAAATAAAGACATCCCAGTTATTGCTAACTCTTGGTCCGTAAACTGAGACGTTATCCAAGTTTCGGATATTCCTATCAGATGGGCATCATTAGCGTTGCTAAGTTCACGTAGCTCATCCATTTTGTTTGGCAAGCTCGCGGCGTTCGTGTATAGGCAGTTTATGCTTTCAATTTGGAACGCGTAAGCCTCTTCTTGTTTGTCTATATGAGCCGTGTGTGAGTGCACAGGTAGCCTACCTATACGATGTTTACCGAGTTGGTAGTCCCTGTCCTCTACACGATTTTTTTAATATCAAGACAGTCCACGAGTGGAATTGTCAGCTCCAGCTTTCGTTTGTGCTTGATCCTGCTGTCGTGGGGCCTATCCGGATGCATATGGATGCCAGTTGGCAACCGACGTCTATTGGCACGAAATGCTTCCAGAGTTGCAGCCGCCATGTGGGAGGAGGGGAAGGTTATCTTCAGCAGCCGGGGCCTAGAGTCTCCGTCTCTCTTGGCCAGTCTCATTACCTGTTGGGTCAATATGTTCTTGAGTTTTAAGGAATGCTTGATGAATTTCCATTCCCGAATATCAGAGTTTGCTTGAGCTGGGTCCATATTTTCCGGCACACCTTGCACAATGATATTTCGTCCACGGAAAAACGCCTCGCGAGATTGCTTAGGGATGTTCCGGATGAGATTTCGTTCAGAATACGGTATGTCGGGCAGTATTCTTACGTTCCCATCGGACCTCAGTAAGTGACTGGCTAGCAGGACGGCCTCTACGTCGGAGGCATTCTTAAGTGTAACACGAAGCAGCCTCGGGTGGTTTAGGTGGTTAGAGTCCTTCCCCCGACTGAGCCGTGTGACGGTCAAAGGCTCTATTCTAGGGAGTTCAAGCCTCTTGATTAATTCTCCCCAGAGCATCCTGTCGTTTTTGTCCTGCAAACTGAGAGGAAGGTCGGGGTTGTCAATAAGGTTCATGATTATGACAGAGTCGTCACGAACCGCAATTGATTTCCCAGGTTTTCCAGGGCGTCTAGGTTTGGTATCTTGTTGTTTGGATGTCGAGGCGCGTTTTCGATTCCTGGGCTCAGTGATGACCGGGCGGACAGTCTTGGGTGTAGACTGTGCGGCCAAAGCATCAATTGATTTACGCACGATACTTGGGACGTTCAGTTTCGGAGGGGACGCTTGGGCTTTATTACTCCTGTTAACGTGAGTCCATCCACCTACAGGATTTTTAGGAACCACTGTCTCATTCAAGGACCGTTCCCCGGGGGACCCAAGTTTACTGAGGGAGTCGATGACAGTCGATGTTAGGATGGTGCTGAGTTTCAATACATCATCACTCGTGCTGTTAACAGCACCGTCGATAACCGACCTGTCAGTATCCTTTTTCTTATTTGCCCTATGCGTTCCAGCTTTGTTACCTGTCATGATGCTATCATTTACCGAATTCTTAGACAACTTATCTCTCAGAGCTGTCAGTAAAGTAATGATAGTACCCAACATAACTACCGTATCGGTGTTGCAGGTAACACATACCCACCTACGATCAGACTTGCTGAGTCTGCTATAGGCTGCTGCTGTTAGATCTGTACATGCTTCATGGAACCAACCTTTACAGTTGTCACATTGCATGCCAGATGTAACGGCAAAACGGCAACCAGGTCTCTTGCATGAATTTTTCATGGCTAGTGATTTAGACTGTCTTAAAAATATAAGCAGTAAATTTAGGACCGATAAAAAAACACACAGTAAACAAAAACTATCAAAAATGTATAAAAACAGTTAACGATAAGCTAAAGCTAGCCTTTACGTGAAAACTATAAAAAAAACCGATAGTGAGCTGAGGCAAAACCACAGTTAACTATTAATTTGAGTGAAACACAAAAAAGAAGTAATCTACCGAACGTATAGCTCAGAATAGATTCTTTGGATTGGAAATGATACTTTTGTTGCGTAAGAACACAGCAAAAGTTTGAGAAATGTAAATCACGTTAGGACTAAACTTCCCGTTCGAATGGTTCAAGTTTCCAAAACTTGTTGAACAGTACATGATGTCTAAAATACATGAAATGACTACACTTCCTAAATAGTACTAATATATCCAATGCGTAGCCGTAAGTTTTATTTTCCGGGTCAACGA